ATGTAACATGGCGATCTTAATGTAAAGTATCTTCAAAATACGGCAGATATCTATGTGTCTACCAAAAACACATATTTTTTTCTACAAATATGGAATGTTCTAAAAGAATATATATTATCAAAATATAGAATGTGGAAATCTACTAATTATATTAATGTGGAAATCGTAATATACCATTTAGCATCTTAACAATTCCTTAAAAAAAATGGAAATTTAATAATTATATGAAACCATGGAAATCTACTCTATTAAAATAGAGTTTTCTTTTTATCTGTTAATACAAATTGTCATTTAAATTTGGACTATTTCTAGAGTGTTACAACAAGCCATATAGTTAATTGAACCGCATTACTTAAATTAAACCGATGGTTATTTATGGGATATAATCTTGGGCTTACTTTTGTTTTTAGGACAAATTATATGGTTTGATTTTTAGGCTTACTATTAAGGAAAAACTCCAAAAAACATTGAATAAAATTTCTATATTAATGGATCAAAAAATCAATTATTATTTTCAGGCCCAAATGTATTTAATATTTTTAACAAAACAAAATTGTCTATTATTAATCATTTATTTAAATCATGTACTTTAAAACATGTTATTGTATTTTTTATTTTAAATAACAATCACTTTTTTGATAAATTTCAATGGTAACTTTTAAATAATTTATTGTTTTATTTTTCTTAAATAATTTACTGATTTAAAAAAATGTAAAACAAAACCAAAAACCAATTCTAAAAACTAAAACCCAAAACCAAAAGCTGAAAACGCATTGTTTTGGATAACATATTGTTATAGTTTTTGCTTTTGTTTATTTATAAAATAAACTATTGCAATTTTTTTTTAAAAAATTTTGTCATCTTTTCAGTTTTAAATTAGATGTTCGATTATTTGAAATTTTTTTGTTGGTAATATCAATTCAAACTAACCCAGCGGATCTAAAAATTAAAAACCCGAACAAAAGCTGAAAATCAAAAATAGAAACTTAAAAACTAAAAACCAAAATCTAAAAATAGAAACTGAAACTAAAATCTAATGAAAAAAATGGTCACCACAAATTTTGATAAACTGATTTTATACCAAAACATTCTTTAAATTAAGACATAACCCAATTATATAAATTTTAGTTATAAAAATTTTCCGCGCTTTCAAGCGCGGGTCAAAATCTAGTCTTATATATTAAAACAGAAGTCATGACTCTATTCATGTGTGATTTTTCTTATCTGGACCATCTCTTAATGTTTTTAAAATTATTATAACAATGCTAATCTTGTTTTAGTACATGAATATTGCATTATTTAGTTACCAATCATTAAAATAAAATATGTATCGCTTAAAAATAGGGACTTCCGAAACCATCTAACAAATTGAACCCATTATTCATTTACCAATCCATATAACAAATTTTATTTATCCTCACACAAAAATATTAAACTAAAAGTTACATCATATAAATATATTATATCATGCCATTGTATTAAACTCTAAAGATATACATATATCAATTTTTGGATGTCAAAAAACGCATATATCAGTTTAAGAACATAACCCATGCATACAGAGCCATCATGGCAGAAAAAATATTTTACTCTTGCATACACATAATATATATTATATCATTGTTTGTTTTAGCAACATATTATATCTTATATATTAAAACAGAATTTATGACTTCTTTCATGTATTATTTTGGACCGTTTTTTAGAAAATCATCCCATTTAATTATCTTATCATTTAGTTTTTATAATAAATATAATCACAAATACTTCTTATTAATATCTTAATAAACCAACAATATACTGTCTTTAAGGAGAATCTGAAATTTGTTTACTATACTAAAACAAAACAAAAATTGTATTCAAAATCAATAAATTAAATATAATTAAATATACCAACTGATTTATAAAATTTTTTTAACCTATTACTCTAACAATTATTAACAACATATATAATTATTTTGTAGACCATTAACTATTTTGTAGGTATGTCATTAACAAAAAAAATCATATGTTATGCAATCATAATATATGATTATATATACATATGATCGTGTATATTATTTTTAGAATTATTTTATGCAACCATAACATATGACTAATTTTATTATTTTGATGATGTCAAAAAATATCACCATTGTGATTGTTCTTTAATATTATTAATTTTTTTTATCAAATTAATATCATTCTAAAAATATAATAGAATTCATTTATAATCATATAACTAAATTTAATATATTTAATCATCTATATTTAATACCATTCCTTAGAATGCTATTCAAATGTTAAATCTAAACTGATAAATAATTTAAATATATATATAAATTGTAATCTATATTATAGAGAAAAATACAACATATTTTTTTCTATAAAACAAATGTATTTACAAATATAGACGTACTAATATATATAATCAACTAAATTACACTATTTTCATTTTTCTTACTTTGAAATTTGATTTGTTCAGATAAATTAAAGAATAACAATAATTTCTATTTTATTTAACCAAAAACATCATTAACTATTCACCTAATCATAATTCAACAAGTAAAAACGCTAACGGGAGAATAGAAAAAGTTATATAAAATAAAAATGAATAAACTTGCATTGAAAATTGAAAATTGAAAATTGAAAATGTCATCTAATTTGAAGTGAAAAATGATTTTCTAAAACATCACATATTAAAGACAAAGTGAATGTCTTCTACGTACAAAAACACTAGAAAATTTTATGTTTTGTATAGAATTATCAAATTACAAGTTACTTATCTAAGATATTAATTTGATTTTTTCACCATGCAAAACCAAAATACAAAACCAACATAGTTTACACTTTCATCAATTCAATTTGAAACAAACACCCGTGCGGTTGCGCGGGTCAAAATCTAGTGCAATTTAAATGAGTAGCAAATAATTTTCTTACAATTATATGTATATTATCTGATCTTAAACTATATAAATATCACTATAAATATTTTGAAAAAAATGAGACAAGTAAACTACAAATAAAATATGTATGTATATTTATGTTCGGCTATCTTCTGATATCCCATTCGGGTTCTCGTATTACTCGTTAGGGTCCGATATCCAATCTCTCATAACTCAATACTCATTCGAGTATTTTGATACTTTGGTTCGGATTTTGATTCGGATATTTTGGATCAGGTTTGGGTATTCGGATATCGGGTAAAATGCCCAATCCTACCTAATAGTGTTACTAAAGCTTGTATTTTGTAAAACGTTGTTCCTAACAAATATTATTCACAACGCAGAGAGTGCAGTTCCGTATGATTATTGTGATTTGCTTTGTACTCATATATATAATATGGTTTCGCTTATTGGTTACAGCTGTGGACGACGCTGGATATTGTAGCTAATAGGCAGTGAGATCTCATGTTTATTTAAGCAAATTTAGCATCAATCTCCCAGAGAAGAGCACAGAGTTCTCGAGGCTTAGAGAACATAGCCATATGATCTGCATCTTTGATCTCAGTCACTTATATTGATGGTTAGCTTCCAGGATACTCTTTTGTATATTGACTGTTAGGTTTTGGTCATAGGTTTTGGTCATTCTCTAAGATCCACAGAATCCCAAACCAACATTGACTGTTTGTTTTATTTATTTGTTTTAACTATAGAAAGCAATAAATTATGGATATTTAGAAAGAGTTTATTTAGAACATCTTTAAGAAAACTCTCTATTTTGAAGTTTGTAAGATTCTATATTTGAAGTTTTAAAGTGTTTTTCTCCAAAAACAAAACTTCAAACTTAACTTCAAAATTGTTTATATTTTACATTTTGGATCCTTACATTTATCATAGTTAATGTAGATTCATAACATTAATAAATAACAAACACATATATAAATTATACAACAATATTAATTAATAAAATCTTACACTAAAATATTAAATTATAAATACAAATACATGATTACTACAAATAGAATACCACCATTTTGTTGTTTAATTTTAATTTTAAAATACTAAACTACAAGCAACTATTTTAAATTTATTATAATTTTTATTTAGTTATATATCTAAAACTTAAATTTATAAAAGGATTTATGAGATATAAAAAAAAAGTTAAGGATTAAAACGATAAACAAAAAAATCTTTATGAATTATAAATTTTATTTGTAACTGTAAGGACCAAAATGTAACTAAAAAGATGAAACTTAAAACTTAGAGTTTTGAGTATTGAAACTTCAAATATAGAGTTTCACTCTTCAAAACTTCATTCGAAGTTTTGAAGTTTCTTTTTCGTATAGCAAAAAACTTTATATTTGAAATTATAGTTTTTTTTTGGAATTGCTCTTAGAAAATACACTTAAATTGTACCTAATCCAACAATAAAATCTAGTTGGAGTGGTTAGTATGCGACTTTCAATAAATGGCCAATTAGTAATTATCACTGTTGAAGTTAATTCTAAAATGGTTTTATCCACTTTGCACCACAAGGTATGCTCGTAGAATGAATGAGAGTAGAATAGTGAACTATATTTGTTCACAAACAATAAAATGCCACAATATTACAGAATCAAATGGGCCGGTCTGTACCCGGATTCTCAAGTTCACCTGCTTAGCCTAGATTAAGTTCACCTGCTTTGACTGCATATGGTTAGTGTTGCAGTGGCCTGTTAGCCTAGATTAATGTTTCCCTTAGTTCTTTCTTTGATGATAGATACTAAAAATTTGTAGGCTTTTGATTTTTAATATGACTGTTGTTGATATGCCTTGAATCTACTATGACTCGCTAGAGCAGATAGCCTGGGATCTCGCCTTAAATATATGTATCTGTTTTTTTTCTTGCACACATTATAACAAATGTGTAATGAATCTCTCTTTTGGCTAATCTATTTGTATCAAACGTGTTTCTGTCTATTTAGAAGTCTATATGTGTTATATTGACAAAGTTCCACGGATATGAATCATACATGATGTGTTCATGGTTTATCATTGTAGTGGTAGCTGAAGCTTGTAAATTACATTGCTGAGGTTAATTCATGCATATATATCTGCTATTTCCAAGAGACGAGCACATAGTTCTTGAGGCTTGGAGTTCATTGGCATATGATCAGCATCTTTGATCTTTATTACTTCTTTTGCTGGAAAGTTCCTTATTATCCAGTGCTGGTATTCTTTGGGTATTATATTATCCTCTTCGCATATGATATAAATACGTGGAATCGATCCATACCCTTTCTCAGTGAAGTTTCTTGTCCCTGTCAGATTGGTCGTAACTAAAGGGTTTACCCTCACCAACATTTTCGCCAATTCAAGATCCTAACCAATGACAAAACATTCAACAATATTTACGATACCGATTGGTGCATCGGCTTTAGAGATTTTATGGTTTTGTAAAGCGGTGAAAAACAAATAATTGTCGATCAAATTTTAAAGATTTTAGAAAATTTAAAGTCTTAAACACCACTTTTTCAAAAAACTCTTCTTACAGTTTATCTTTTCCTAAAGCCACTTCTAAAATTTTAAAAGCTTAAAAAAAAACATTTTCGTGGATCACATTTTTTTGTTCATTTCAACCAAAATAAAAGACACAAGTAAAATGATTGGAAATTTAATTATATATCATTAATGAGTTAGTTTTTCTTTCTGAGAATTAGTTAGTTTTTTATTTTACATCAAGATAAATTCATTACCTACTATTATTTTGATTAGAGTTAGAGTCTTACTTCAATAGGAGACAACTGATAAAATTTCTCAGCCAAGAACCATGGTCCAAGAAGACGAGTCTCTAGAGGACGATCAGGTGTTCCATAACTTCCAAACACGGCGTCCAAAAACTCTCCTCGTAAAATGCGTGCAACCAACTGTACATTTCACTCATATATCATAGTCATTTTAAGGTATTGTACCGAGTAAGTTGATGTACCTTTTCGACAACGTAGGCAGGCGGGTTTTTGGTGTCTGGCATGGAAGATGTCAAGAAAACAATAGCAGCGGTCTTACAAGGGAAGATGTCGGCAGCGAGAGCAGCCGGTACTCCTCCCACGCTATGTGCGACCAGAATTGTCTTTTTGTCTGAGGGAAATGAGTCCATAATGTCTAATAGTGGCTTGGAATAATCCTTCAACGTCTGAATCTCTTCCACTCTGGTCATGTTTATACCCGATGCAGCCAGATCCACTGCAGTGACACAGTGCCCTTCAGCCTCGAGCTGCGTTTTCACTCTGTACCAGCTCCATGCGCCGTGGCAGGTCCCATGGACGAGTACAAAACGCTTCTGGTTGTCCATTGTCATCTTTAATTTCTGCATCCTGGTTATAAATCTATAATGTATACTGACTGTTAGTTTTTGGTCGTTGTCTGACATTTAGAGAATGTCAAACCAACACTACATTGACTATTAGTTTTGTTTTTATATTTAATATCAACCATATAAAAAAATGACGTCTGGATTTTTAGAAAGACCCATTTTAGAACACACATTTAATCGTATCAAATCCAAACACATTGCTTCCAGCATATTGGTTACCTTGTGTTACAAATTTATATGAACTGGAGACATAATTTTTTTTTTTTAATATACACTGCATGCACATGAAACTTTAAATGAAAAGAGCTTCTATACATATATGTTAGATCAGTGCATTTGGCTTTAAAATTCTTATCTAGTGAAGGGTTCAAGTTTGATGGAAGCTGCATTGTGATGTTGGCTTCATCGTGCATATCAAACCTGATCTGCTATATGTTAAGGAGATATGATATAATGGAGGCCCTTATGTGTAATTAGTTAATTGTACTGTATGCCCTAACGTAGTTATGTATATATACTTCTCAAATACCTAATGATAAAGTATTCAGCCTTTCATCTATATGGTATCAGAGCCTGCTCTACCCTAAACCGCCTCGTTTTCTTTTCAAAACTTTTCAAGCTCCACCATGTTTGGTAGCTTCACTTCATAGGCGAACAATGTTGAGACTATTGCTGTCTCAACTACAACTAATCTCCTTCATATCAACATGACTAATGTCACAAAACTCACAAGCTCCAACTTTCTCATGTGGAGTAGACAAGTTCATGCCCTCTTGGAGGGGTATGATTTAGCCGGCCACATCGATGGATCCACTGCTGTCCCCGCCACTACCATCACCAAAAATGATGGATCGATTGTACCCAACCCTGCCTACACGCTCTGGAAAAGGCAAGATAGATTGATTTACAGTGCTATTCTTGGAGCGATAACGGTGACCCTGCAACCCATTCTCTCGACGGCGAACACAGCAGCAGAGATCTGGAATGTCCTCTCCTCAACCTATGCTAAGCCAAGCAGAGGACATGTTCCGCAAATTCGTCAGCAACTTTGACAGTGGAAGAAAGGTACCAAACCTATTGACGAGTACTTTCAAGGCCTAACAACTTGCTTTGATGAATTAGCTTTACTTGGAAAAGCTCTGGATCCCGAGAATCAGATTGAGCACATTCTCAATGGTCTTCCTGAAGATTATAAGACGACTGCGGATCAAATTGAAGGGTGCGATACTCCTCCGTCTCTTACTGAGATCCATGAAAAGTTTCTCAACCAAGAAGCAAAACTTCAACTCCTTTCTGCTCAAGCCTCTCCCGCTCCTGTGACTGCAAATTTCACAAACTACAGAGGTTACTCAAGCAACAACAACACCAACAATCCTCGCCGTGGGGGATACCGTGGGAACCATCCTCCTCATCAACAATTCAACTCCAACTTCCCGCAGTCTCAGCAGTCTCAATATCAGCAGTCTCAGACCCGTGGCTTTCAAGGAATGTGTTAGATTTATAGTGTTTTTGGTCACAGCGCTCGTCGCTGTCCACAACTTCAGCATGGTGGCTCTGCATCCACAAATCATCAGCCACAGACCTCTACATCTGCTGTGTGGCAACCAAGGGCAAATGCAGCTCATGCTTCCTATTACAATCCGAACACATGTCTTCTTGATAGCGAAGCAACTCATCATCTAACCTCTGATCTAAACAACTTAGCGATTCATCAACCCTATAATGGAGGTGAAGAGGTTTCTATTGCTGATGGTTCTGGTCTGCAAATCACACACACTGGTTATGCTTCTATCCTTACTACGACTAAACCACTTAAATTTCAAGATATCTTATGTGTTCCAAGTGTTCAGAAAAACTTGATTTCGGTTTATCGCCTTTGTAACGCTAACCAAGTATCTGTGAAATTTTCCCCGCTTCGTTTCACGTGAAGGATCTCAGCACGGGGGTTCGGTTACTTCAAGGTCGCAAGAAGGATGATTTGTATGAGTGGCCTATTCCCAACACAAAAATTGCAGCTTCTCATGTTTCCTACCCAGATGCCAAAACCTCATTTGCTCAGTGGCATCATAGACTAGGCCACCCGTCTTCTTCCCTTCTTAAATCAGTTGTTTCACAGTTTTCTTTGCCTTGTTTCAGTGATTCTTCTATTGTTTCTCCTTGCAATAATTGTTTACTCAGTAAAACTTCCCAGCTTCCCTTTCATCAAAGTACCATTGTTTCATCTCAGCCTCTTGAATATATCTTTACCGATGTCTGGCAATCACCTATTCTCTCAAACCAAAACTTCAAATACTATCTTCTCTTGGTCGATCATTATACTCGTTATACATGGTTGTTTCCCCTCACTGCTAAATCCCTAGTAAAAAAATATATTCATCAAGTTTAAGCCTCTTGTTGAAACCAAATTCCAAACCAAAATTCGCAACCTATACTTTGATAACGGTGGTGAGTATCTTGCTCTTCATCATTTCCTCTCAAGCCACGGCATTTCTCATCTTACCACACCACCTCATCCACCCCAACATAATGGTCTATCCGAAAGGAAACATAGACATATTGTTGAAACTGGCTTGACACTACTCTCCTCTGCGAACATGCCTCTCACTCACTGGCCTCTAGCCTTTGCTACTGCTGTATTCCTCATAAACTGTTTACCCACTCTAGTCCTATCCAACGTATCACCCTTTCAAAAGCTATTTAAAACCACACCCAATTACCACAAACTTCGCATCTTCGGGTGCTCGTGTTTTCCCTGGCTTAGACACTACGCCCCAACCAAACTTGAAAACAGATCCATACCTTGTGTCTTTGTGGGTTACTCTTTAACTCAGAGTGCCTATCAATGCTTAGATCCTGTCTCTGGACGATTATATATCTCTCCCCATGTTCGGTTTAATGATACGGAGTTTCCCTTCACTAAACTTACCAAACCCACTATGCCAAAAGAAACATACATCTCTCCTTCTCATCCCTCACAGCCTCATACAACCGTTCCTGAGCCTCGGTCGCTCATACAATCTCCTACACCGACATTGAGTAATCATCCCTCAGGCAGTGATTCATCCCCATCTTCAGCAGCGCAACAATCTCATGAGGCTAACCCTTCTCCAACAGTTCCGTCCACATCAACTGGAACATCAGAAGCTCCTTCAGTTGCAGAGCCACAACCAGTTCCCGAAACTGAAAACACAGCGACTACAACTCAACCTCCGCAGGAAGCTCCACGCCACTCCATGACGACAAGGTCTAAAAACAACATTGTAAAACCAGTGACAAGGTATAACTTAACAGCTACTCTTCAATGTGATCTTCATTGGATTCCCTCAACATGGCAACAAGCCATAAAACATGCACATTGGCGAGCAGCAATGAGTTGTGAGTTTACTTCCACAACGGACAATCATACATGGGATCTAGTTCAAGCTACACAGAGAATGATTGTTGTGGGTTGTCGCTGGATTTTTACAATCAAATATAATCCAGATGGGAGTATAGCGAGATACAAAGCGCGCATTGTTGCTAAAGGCTTTCACCAACAACAAGAGGTTGACTACATGGACACCTTTAGTCCCGTTAGCAAGTCGACGACGATCAGAATCGTGTTGGGTTTAGCTGTCAACCACTGGCCTGTGAGACAGATTGATGTCAATACAGCCTTCCTCCAAGGTTGTTTAGAAGATGAGGTGTTTATGGCTCAGCCACCGGGTTTCACAGATTCAAATAAACCTAATCATGTTTGCCGTCTCCGTAAAGCTATCTATGGACTAAAACAAGCGCCTAGAGCCTGGTACTCTGAACTGAAAAACTATCTTCTCAACTCTGGTTTCAAGAACTCTTTGTCAGATACATCACTTCTTATCTTGAAACACAATGGGAAGTTTGTTTACTTGTTAGTCTATGTAGACGATATCTTGGTGACTGGCAGTGATCCGTGCCTTCTTCAACAAGTTATCACTGCACTTTCTAACCGATTCTTGATAAAAGACATGGGAAATCTGAGCTATTTTCTTGGCATTGAGATGATAAGGACACCACAAGGCCTTCATCTGCGACAAAAGAAATACATAATGCGGGAGTCGATTTCACCCTACTGTCAAATAAATCGTAAAAAAGGAAACTTCGAGAAAACCCTAAGTTTCCAGAGGAACCGGCTATCTGCGAGAACCACACAACGAAAATAAGATGACGAAAATACTTAGAATTTAAATAAGAATAAACGAAAACAGAGAGCAAAGAGGTTCTTATTCCGAATCTGCGTAGAACTTGTACAAAAAGAATTGCCGAAAGCGTAAGAACTAGAAAACCCTAATTGAGACGCAGCTCGCTAACAGAAAAACGGAAATATTCCTAAATGCTAGTTTTGGTGGTGAGAGCTCTGAATTTCGTGTCTCCTCCCTCTGACCTATGCCTCTTGCTTATATACTCCTCGCCTTGGCTAATCGATCTTTCCATTTTGCTCAGATTTGAGCATATCGGAAATCTTCCGTTTTTCCCGATCCTTCCTTTTCTTCCGCGGAAATCTTCTATTTATCTTCAAACTTGCCTTTATCTTCAAGCTTGACATTTATTCCCTTCTGCGAGTAAACCGTCAAAACGTTATCGTATCTTCGGGTTAGATTCGGTTAAGATCGCGAGA